GCGTGAGGGAGAGAGAAAGAAAATTGGAACTGGGCCCGCGCTGGAACCTCCTTTCGCGACTCCGCATCTAGTTATACCTATGTGTTATCATTTACCGTTGTATGGAGATGTGACAATGTTAAATATGTTTTGGTAAGTATCTAGATGCTTTGTCCATACAACATTATCGCGACATGGAGATGTAGTGGTAAGTATAACATGTACCTAGATACTTGCACATTGAGATGTAGAAGTAATTTTAACTTGTGTCTGAATGCTAGCGCATTTGATTTTTATCTTACTGGGGTACGAAAATCTCGAGCTGTATGCTTAGTTTTAATGTAAGTCCATCATGTATGAAGTTGCGAATCAAGAGTGTATACCGCCGCTGGCAAAACTAATAAGTGCTCGCGAAATTGGACACGACACTTTTTTACGTTACGACCGCAACATAATTGGATATGATTTATTATGCTTTGCACACATGATGCATAAATGGGATTGTCTGTTTTGCACGAGAATTTCGGAGTGTATCATGTTGGATAGCGACGAGAGGGACGACGCATGGATGGAAAGCATGCGCCGGAAGGACGAGGCCGCGAGGTGTAGAAGATTGCTGGTAAGTACAAAAGCAATTACTCTCGAATATAAACGATGATTTTTATCTAGGATAAAAAACGATGTTTTGTTTCTTTCAGAATGATCTTCTAAATAGTGACAACGAAGACGATGATAGCGACGCGAGGACGTCTGCGCGAAGTCCGCGGGAGGATGCGAGCCCGCGGGAGGGCCCGCGGGAGGGCCCACGGAAGAGCCCGCTGCAAGAGGAGGCGAGCCTGTGAGAAAGAACAGTTGCTTACGACAATTAATGTAAATATTTTTTAAATAGCTATCCTTTCTTCATTCTCCTTTCAAGCATTTTTTAAAATACTCTTTCCCTTTGTCTGTTGCAGATAGCAACGGGCAGATGGATTTGCCACATCATATATTATATTAAATACTTTTTCATATATTATATTAAATACTTTTTCATATTTTATATCATAAATTACAAATAAATTTTTTAAATTTTAATCCTAAAATAATATTTTCTTTAATTCTTCTCCTCTTCCTCTTCGCGAACGCGAGCGATAACGGGTGAGACCGCGAGCGATAATCGTGGGATGAGGCCCGTGCGCAACGGCGGCGGCGGCGGCGGCGGCGAACGCGGTGAGCGCGGTTCCCCTTTCCCCGCGATACCCGCATCACCGACGTGGTATCCCTCTTCCCCGCGACACCCGCACCAGCAACGCGGTATCCCTCTTCCCCGGGCATCCCGCACCCACAACTCAGTTCCCTCTTACCCGCGCATCCCGCACCTGCAACGCTGTTCTCCTCTCCCCGCGCATCCCGCACCGACGACGCGGTTCCCCCACCCCCGCGCATCCCGCATCCACGACCTCGCGGTCAGGCCAGCTGAGCGAGCGGCTTTCCGCGGCTTTCCCCTCCCCGCGGACCCCGGATCGCGCCGTGAACGTTCTGAGCGGCTTCCCCCTCCCCGCGGCTTTCCCCCGCGGACCACCCTCCCTGCGGACCCCCTGCCCTTCACCCCCCCTCGGAGCTCCTGGGTTCGAACCCGCCTATAATAGCTACTTAATCTGATCCGTGTCAGTTAGTGATAACGTCTGCATTAAAATTAACAAAAATTTATTAAAATAAACGTTTATTTTGAACTGTACGTGGTCCATCGAAATGGAAATTCCGTCTTTCTCACAAAGCTATACAGAAGTCATTGAATCTTTACAAGGTAATTGATGTGTGCGTGTGTGTGTGTGTGTGTGT